CTCAGTAAACACACTTTTTTCTACCTACCAGATAACATGCTGATATTAAATGAGGATTAAATAAACACATTTAATAGGAAAAACATAATGGATGTCAGCTTTCACCTTAAAATATTTTTTACATTTTTAATTTACTTCCTAAAGAGGTTTTTAACCCTGTACATATAGAACTGTTTTCTCCCTTTTAATTATGGCTGGGTTATTATTAGCATTATGTACCACTTGCAAAGTTTAGGCCCTAACATTTGCACACTGAATATTATATGCAATAACGTTTAATATCTTCATTAAATCTTGCTCAACATAGATCTATAATTCAAAATTAGTAGCTTTATTCCTTTGCAATTAGGTAGACAGCATCACATGGGCACACTGAGAGTTCAGTCTTCTTGAAACTTACATTAACAAATTAAATAATGGGACTATTTAAAATAGAATACATGATTATTTTTAAAAAATCAGCTAAGAGGAAGAGAATTGGATTTCCAAATCAATTAAATGTTTCAACTTTAAATCCAGACAGATTTCAAAAATCGAAATCCACCAAAAGCCATACATTAGACAGTTTAATCACCAAATCTAAATAAATTAGTGCAAAATACCCTGAAATTATTCAGTACCACTCCTCTTGCTCTCCGTTTAACTGCCACCATACATTCAGATGCATACACTCCACATACAGTATTTAGTAATAATCCACCTTTAAGGGCTAGATTTCCTCCCACCCCCTATTTCTTTATCACCTTACCCCATTCTGTGCCATCGCCTGAACTCCGTGCTTCTCCAGCTCCTTCGCCATCTTCAGCAGTCACTAAAAAATCAAATTCTTTCAGTGCTTCCTCAGTATCAGGATCATCAGTTAGGTCAGCAGCCAAACCTTCATTACCTATCTGTCAATAGAATATAAACCAAGAATTACTTTTATCCTAAACTGAAAAGGGATCCTTCGGTTATATTTTCACACAACTACATTTATATAACAATTTTAAAATTACTTGGATCCAAAATCTTGGATTTCCTATGTAATTCATAAATCCCAAAATCAATGGTTCAACAGTGCTATGCCAAGATCATTTGTATGATGCGATTCAAGTAATGTGGTACTAAAAATGGTTAAAGTGCTAATCATCAAGAATAGTTAACTTCTTAAATTATAGTACATTCATAGTTACACTCCATTAAAGAACTATTCATTTGCTTGCATACACTGAACTGACTTCACAAACCGAGAACTGCATATTTAGTTCATCCCTTATAGTAGTAAGACATAGTAACAAATATAAGTCCATAGCTGTGGTAATTATGATAGTGCTTTAACTTCCAGAACAAAAAAAAACTAGAAGGATCAAAATCTCTATTCACTAAATAGACTATGTTACACATATGTGGCAGAAAGACTAGAAAGCTGCTTTTGTAGACTGCAAGTTTTTGAGGAACTGCCATTTCCCCTACATTATTGTAAAATCTCAAAGTACCACAAATGAACCTATCCTCCTTTTTCATATATTTGAAATAATGAACATCACTCTGATAATTCAAAAATGGACGATCAACTCTACTTTTGCTTCTATAGCTAATCCTCAATCCCCATCACCACTAAAATAGATAAATGTTTCTTAGGTTATTATTTTTACTAACCCTTCCCAAAGAACAAGAATGTTGACAAATATTTACTATCCAAACATTACTTCCTCACCCAGGGTAGAAATATCCTCACTGCTGCTTCAGTTAATTTATTACTCATGTACTGTACATGGAGAGAGAGACTTCAGGACATTCTCAAATTGTGGCAGGAGTAGAAAGGGTGTCGCTTTCTTTTTTTTTTTTTTTTTTTTTTTTTTTAAAAGATAGGGTCTTGCTCTGTCACCCAAGCTGGGGGTACAGTAGCATGATCATAGCTCAATGCAACATAGAATGCCTGGGCTCAGGCAATCCTCCCAAGTAGCTGGGACTACAGGCATGCACCACCACACCTGGCTGATTTTTTTAAAAAAATTTTTTGTAGAGATGGGGGTCTTGCTATGTTTTCCAGGCTGGTCTTGAAATCCTGGCCTCAAGTAATCCTCCTCCTCAGCCTCCGAAAGAACTGAGATCAGAGGTATGAGCTATTACACTCAGCACAGGGTTTCGTTTTTTAAAAAGTTTCAAAACCAATGGTCTAGTCCTATAAAAACAAGACTTTTTCTTGCCCATTTAGTGACTAGTACAGTAATAATGATTCCTATGATATGTGTGTAATTGAAAAAGAGCAGACCATATAAAACTTTAAAAATGATCACTCCTAGTGTAATTTAAGACATATCAAAAATTCCTATTCCAAATACATGAGTATGTAGCTAATAAGAATATAAAATCTAGTTCCTACTTTGTGTTTATTCATGCGATGTTTGTCTTTTCCTTCTGGGATGCCTTCAATCATGTCATTTTCCTCTTCTTCATCACTGTCATCAGCATTTTCTAAGAAATTGAATGTCTCAAGAACATCACCAGGGGGCCTGCAGGAAGGGAAAAGATGAATCCAACGATTTCAATATTTCTTTCTGGTTCTTATTTTAAAACGGTGCATGAAGGTAGCTATAGAGATTCAAACGATGATCTACATACTATGTATTGCCTAAAAACTTTACTCAAGAATATCCAAAAGATTATTTATGTTCTATGATTAAAATAAAATTGATTGTTCTCTGTTGACTTTCTCCAAAGTTCACTGTCCAAACTATTTTAGGTAATTACTATAACAAAATAAAAGCCTGTAAGTATTAGATGCTCAAACACACCATTAATTTTCAAAATAAAGTCATGAACAGGCAACTCAGCATTTCTTAGCACTATAATCTCTTAGAGCGTGGCTCAAATGTTTGAAGACTAAAACAGTAAATACCAAAGTTTATCAGGTTGTGCAGACTTAAAGTTTAGTAAATCAGATATAAAACATCCCAATCACAGATTTTCTTCCCTAAAAAAACAAAAACAAAAACCCATAATCTATTAAATACTTTCAAGTCTTTCAGAACCACTCATTTAATAGGTAATAGTGACGATCTATTTTATTCACTTACAAAATCTGTTTTTAAACTGAGTTCCTCTACATACAAAAAAAAAAGGTTTTCAGACAGTTGTTTAAATGGCTAACAATAAAGGCAGCAACAGCAGAAAATTCAGCTGAACAAAGACTTTCACTATGAAAAGTGACTAACTGCCACTAACTAGCTGCTGGAATCTGGCCAAGACACTTAAATCTTTTGGTCTCAACTTCTTTATCTGAAAACTTTGAAGATTGAAATAGATGATCTCAAATGTCCTTCCTAACCCTAAGAGTACATGGTAACGAAAAGAAAAATAACCTAAAATTCAGGCTTTTTCTCCCCCCCTCCCTGAATGGTTCCCTCTGTTAGTCCAAATTAAGGACAGAAAACAATTCAGACTACAGTCATCCCTTGGTTTCCACAGGGGATTGGTTCCAGGACACCAATACCCTCCCCCCTTTCTCAAGTCCCTACACACATCCTCTCATATACACATATACTTTAAATCATCTCTAAATTACTTATAATACCTAATATTTAATACAATGCAAATGCAATGTAAATCGGTGTTATACTGTATTATAATTTTTTATTGTCATTGTTTTTGTTTCAATACAGTATTTTTGATCCATGACTGGTTGAATCCAAGAATGCAGAACCCATGGATATGGAGGGCCAATTGTATTTTTTTAACAGAATTAAACAGTTTTGTTTTAATAGGTCTACCTATACCCCACCAATCCAGCACACTGTTTAAAGGAACTGCATAAAAACTAAATGCAGAAAGAGATGGTTTTTCCAAATGCAAATTAGCAAAAAACAAACACAAGCTTACCACAATAACAAAAGGTCCTTTTCAGCTCCACATTTATATCTTAATATTTGGAGATTAAATGAAAGGCAAAGAACATATTTGACAAAAGTGGCATATCAATGATGGAATAATTTTAAAAGGTATTTTTTTTGAAGTATGAGATTTTTGTTTTGAACTTTGAAAAATTAAGTACTGCTGTCCCTTGGATAGAAATTTCTGGCTCTAAAGTGAGAGCTTCTATTTCTATGTTTTAAAAAATGTGCATGGCTTTAAAAGTCAAAAAGAATACAACGCGTAAGAAAGAACTGATGAATCAGACTTCACCAAAATTATAAACTTTTACTCTTTGAAAGACACTAACAGAATGTAAAAACAAGACTACACATTCTGAGAAAACATCTGCAAATCCTATTTGATGAACAATTTGTATCCAGAATATGTAAAGACACTTAAATCTCAATGGTAACAAATAAAAAGATTTAAAAAATGGAGAAATTTTTCAAATAGACTATTGCATTAAAATGATATGTGGATGGCAAATAAGGACATGATCAGATACTCAACATTATTAGTCTTTAGGGAAATGAAAATTAAAGGATCATGGACTGTGAAAGGTCTTAGATTTTACCCTACTTACATGCTAACAACCTAGCCTGCTACTGTTTCACAGATCCTGAAAGAAGTCATAAGATGGAGTCAGAGACAAGAATTCTATTCCTCAGGAGCACAGGAAGCAGCAAGAACATAAGTCACTAAGTTTCCTTTGCTTTTCAAGTCCCACAGTGTTGGCAAGGAGGGGATCAGGTAGATGATGCATATGCAGTTTGTTTGAATCATAGCTGAGGAACTCTGAGCTTACAGAACTCAAAGCTTTCCCCCTGGACAGTAAGGATGACTACCCAAAAGACTGTTTCTATCTTCCAAGGCTCTTTGTTATACATATATCCTTAAACAGACAGTCCAGAATAAAAGAGCAATCAGTGTCTCTGCTCACAAAAATATGAGCGATTCATGGAGAACTGCCTCTAAAAAACAAAACAAAACAAAAATGAAGTACTGTCACAAACCTATGAGAATGACTAAAATCAAGGAACATGATCTGGAGTGGAATTAACTGGTTATGAAGAATAGGAAGAGATTAGAAGAGCTGTTGGACTGAAGAATGAAATAGCCAGAAAGAAGATGAAAGAAGAAAAGGATTGTCAAGCAATTTTCAGGGCTCTAATGAGGTTAGCTACAAATAATTTGGGGTTCATCAGCATAGTCAATAGATTTTTTTTCCTATAATAAAGTACTGCTATGAAACACCTGGGGTACAAAAGCAAATATTTCTAAACAATTTTATAAGGCATATGATAAGTAACAGAATCCCCTGCCCTACCCTTTCCTACCTTTCATTTCTATACACTAGGACCAACCATTTTTAATTTTTCTTTTAGAAGTTTCCTTCACTATTTACCTTGATATTTCTAAATAACCTGCTTAGACTACTATTTCTTGATGAAGATGTAGTTCCCTTATAGTTTACATCCCATACCCCACACTTTCTCCTTCAAAAGTAATATAGTTATACTAATTTACTTTTGGTTATAGTAATATTCCATGGTTACACTATAACTATGTAAATATTATTCCCATTTAAGTCACATTACAATGATTCTGCCTTTTTTCTTTTACATATGGTTTTCCTGAAATAACCACCTAATGGGTTTTTTTTAACTGCTTCATTTTCCAAGGATGCCATGACTTATTCTTTCCCTGAAATTTTCCAGAACTGTGTAACTCTTTTCAAAATCCTCAAACACATAAGGTAATATATTAATTTCATATTTTCTAAGAGATTTTCCTTCCATTCTATTGTGGTTACTCTCCAGGCCCACTGCACAACTGTTTCCTGAAACTTCATTTGCCTCTCTCCTTTACCAGATATCCTTTTTCCTGAATCCTACATTTTCCTCATTCTTCACTTACTCTCTCTGATTGCTGAGACACATCCTCCAACAGC